AGACAATTTTGTCGTTATTTTTAATTAATAATGAATAAAGAGATGAAATCAACTGGATATGGGTTGTTTGAAAAAAAAAACTAATCCTCGTACGTTAGTATCTCATATTGAACTGATAAAAAATAATGTATTATTAAAGTACAGAGTTTTTCCATTACTGTTTGTATCGGAAGGAGAAATGCCAATTAAACGCATATAAAAATAATTACGAATTCTATATCAAGATTAATTTTTCCAGTCCTGCAGGTAACCAGAGAACGCCTAACATTGGTAAAAAAAATTATGCAATCAAGTCACTTAAAAGTTTATTAGTAAAATTGACAAATAAAAAAGATGGTAAGAAACCTGGTACAACCAACCGAAAAGTGAAAAAATTATTTATGTTATGAAATAATAAAAGAAGAAGAGTATTGCAGAGAAAAGTAGGGAGAGAGAATTCTTATTGATTTGGAGTGAATTACAATGGAATATGACCCCTCTATTTATAGGGAAAGAGTGACTTAGCCACCAAGTAAAATCCCTAAAAACTCTCTAAAATACAGACATTCACTTTAAATAAAACTCTATTTATAACACTTCCCCTTGAATGTCTATTCAACGGATAATGTGCCTCGTTAAAATCTTAACTGAAATAAAACCCCATGGGAAAAAATTTTAGAGAAGGAAAAAGAGTACACTTGTTCAGAAATACGCCTTTTGGTTGCCTCGTTAAAAACCTTGCAAGGAAAACTCAGTGGGACAAAACCTTGTAAGGAAAAAAGAGTACAACGCGTATTAACTCGCCCTGATGAGAGCATCAATTCATATCTTTGAACCTTCACATTCCAATCTTGTGCACCATCTTCAAAAGATCGTTGGTAGAGATTTGATAAACAAATCAGCCTTATTAACTTGAATGAATATATTGCACCTTGAAATCATCATTCTTGATAGGTATATAATGTCTTCATATAATGTTGTGGAATGGCTTTTCAATATCTCCATAGAGGTATTCTCCCTATCATATTATCATGCTTATAGTTATAGCAAGATACATATGTGCACAAATTGCACTGAGGATGTGGTACTTCAAGATCAAGAATCGTATATGCTTCAAGCAATTAAATCCCTCAGGGATTATCATATAAGTATAGTCATATGAGCCATTTAAATAGACTTTAGATGCATATCAAGTTTTCATGTCATGCCGACATATAATACATGAAAGTGATTGCACACACCTATTGACTTTATACTTTCGAGTGTTTGAACTATATGTCCAAAACTACATGTCTTTCATATGAAACATAATTCTATTCGAATTTTGTCTCTTCCATTTGGCCAATATTTTTGTGTCTGTATTCGGCAGACTTAAGATCCTCATCTATACTTAGCGCTATCATAGATGTCATCGACGAACATTTTATATCGGTTCCAACTTTTTTTTCATAAAGACATGACATAGAGATTTCTTCATTCATATTTTCAGGTACCTGATTCTTTCCTGAGATTTTATGAAGTTTTATGTCATGTGATCTTCTAGATCACTTGCCTCCTTTATTATGATCATTTGCTCATCTTCTTTATCAAGAAGTTATTTGAAACCGATCTGTCTATACGCTTTAAGCGTACCATAGACTTTGTCCTTCTAGGACTTAATATGAGCATTTGCAATGAGAATATAGTTACTTTCTTTGGGTCAGCAAATGCGTCTAGCATGCTTTGCAATATATTGCAAATGAATTATCCTTTTATGAACTTCAAGTTCATATTATTTTATTCGAGGATCTAGATGTACACATGATAATTCATTCCACGTAACTTTTTCTCAACTGTTTATCATGTCTCCCCCTCATGTTAGAAAAACTAACTTGTTTCCTCAACTTTGAGAACCCATCTTTGTGCATTATGGTGTTAATCAAAATATACACCGCACATCAATAATAATAAGATGGAATTATTTGGTTCCTGACCCTGAACCACTTGTGAGGGGAGAATGTAATATACTTTCGTATATCACGTATATCAAACTAATTTATATAACTTTGTTCTCATAGGCAATAGTTTAACTAATAAGTGGAGGCACTCAATAAATTATCTTGCTAAACCTGTTGTGATGTAAACCAACTTATCAAGATAAACTATCTTGAATAGAAAATCTGGAAATTATGTTCTAAATTAAATTACTGAGCAAGTTACCTCGCAAACACCGGCCAGGTTGCGGGTTAATAATAATCGCACATGTAACCATCTCATAGATGCATCTTATGTGGTATACATGGCAGGTGAATGAGCCCAGATTCACCTTTGATATTTCCAGCATTCACGGGATTCAATCCCAATTTTAGTTGGTCTATTAATTAATAAGAACAAGCAATGTAAGAGAATTCGTAAAGAACTTTCTAGTTCTTTAATATTTACCCATGTGAATTCTCTTTTATTTTTGCACATCATACTTAAATTATCATGGCTAAACCAATTATGCCAACTGAATAAATTATCAATATTGATAAAGTTCAGATTTATACCATGACGTGTGCAATTATCGATAAACTCCAAGTTTATTATGATATGGATTTTTATATCAATAAACATCTACTTTATTGTGGCATTCTTTTATTTATGTAGTACAAATTAGAAAATAAAGCGGGTAGCTTTTCACATACATATTACCCTGCTACAAGTTGTAGCAATAGAAGATATTAAATTTCTCTTTTATTTATAGTCTCAATATAATCAACCGCTTTCGCGTATACTTTGGAAACTAAATAAGTTTCTTTGAGACTTACTACAACACAACACCTTATTGGTAATCAATTGTGTTTCTCCAAAATAGTATAATTGGCCCTTGCAGAGTTCTCAATTAATTTTGTAGTACCACATATTCATCAACATCCATATGGTGAATATCTCTTTTAAAGAGAAAGTTATACCATTATGGTCATGGTCAAAATCATTATATGCAAGATATGTTGCTTGTATTACTTTTGTCATGTAATAATCACATTGCCATAATATTTTGGCGTGCAATAGGTACGTGACCAATGACCATTCATGCCATAATAATGACATTATTTTCTTATATCATCTCAAACCTTTTTCTAGAGGTGAGTGTGGTATATTCACTACCACTAGCACGTTCATATTATTCCAAGGATGAATATGTATTCATAAATCACGTGCTGTCACATTGACATCATGAATGGACCAATATCATCTATATATGATTTACAAAATCTCATATCAAATCGATGACAAATATTACTTTCACAGAGTGAAGGATTATTTTGAGAATCCTTATTATTCTCATTACCACAGTGATGTCGATTATAATTTCGTCTATTGCCACGTCCACATCCATTGATACCTTCACGGTAATAATTTTGTCATCTTTCAGACTTATCACATACTGCTATCACATTCTCTTAAGGGAATGAGAATGAAGCAAATTCAAAGGGATGGGTTTTCAATTCTTTGCCCATAATCATACATGAATTTGATCATGGCAAGGCATAGAAATTTTACCACTTTGGGTGGTTATAATTTCTTTCAAACTCCATTAGAGTTAAAATCAAAATTTATCGTCTTTGCTTGTATTTAAAATTAAATTATAGAATAAAAGAATTTAAAAAAGAAAAATAAGATAAAATACTTACCTTAAATCCAGAATTTAATCATGAAGGAGGTTCATAGAACAATTGACAATCATTATGCTCAATCCCAAAGCTTCTACTCAATTGGTTAGAGTCTCGTGCTGATAACGTATTATGAAAAAATAAAAGAAGAAGAATATTGCAGAGAAAAGTAGGGAGAGAGAATTCTTATTGATTTGGAGTGAATTACAATGGAATAGGACCCCTCTATTTATAGGGAAAGTTGTTGGGCTTTAAGCTTGGTGTAGCTTAATTTTAAGCTTGGTGTAGCTTAAAGAGGGTGAATGGGAAATGGAGGGAAAATGAAATATTTGAGTTTTCCTCCTTGGCAAAGGGACATTGTCCCATATTGGAGGAAGAAAAGACTTTTGATGGGTATATATACAATTGCTCTTCTTCTAGCTCTTAAAGTGTTAAGAAGAAGACAAGCCTCGCGTCGTCGCCGTCGTCGCTCGATCGGCTTGGCTTCAGCTTCGGCTTCAGATTCGGATTAGGATTGGGATTGGGATTGGGATTTGGATTTGCTCAAAGATTGATTGATTGATTAATTTTCCCGCAATATTCGCACCTGTTCCAACAGCTATGGCTGTTCTGAAAGGTTGCAAACCTTTTTAGAAACAGTGCCAAATGGGCTATAAATATGCCTTGAATCCCAGAAATTTTACTTGCTAAATTTTCTGATTATCTTCTTCTTCTTCTGCACAATATTTTCCAGTGTGTTTTACGACCATTGAGTGGTTTGCCGTTCACCAGTCTTTGGCTTCGGCGGCTTCGGCTTCGGCTTCGGATTTGGATTTGGATTTGGATTTGCTCAAAGATCGATTGATTGATTAATTATCCCGCAATATTCCCACCTGTTCCAACAGTTATCGCTGTTCTAAAAGGTTGCAAAACTTTTCAGAAACAGAGCCAAATTGGCTATAAATATGCCTTGAATCCCAGAATTTTTACTTGCTAAATTTTCTGATTATCTTTTTTTTCTTCTGCACAATATTTTTCAGTGTGTTTTACGATCATTGAGTGATTCGCCGTTCACCAAAGTTTTTGGTGTCAATACGGTGATGAGTTAAATCGTTCTATCCTGGGAGGATATATTCCAGCACCTCGGTACTTGAGGAGAATAATTTCCTTAAGGACACACTGTGTATTTAGTGAGCTCGATTTATTCCTATATTATATTCCAGAATTTATTTTGTCGTTCTGATTCTACTAACTTTCTGTTTCTGTTTTTTCCAAAAAGTTTACTGTTTTATTGCTTATTACAGCAATACAGATTGGATAACAAGAGCGACTTAGCCACCAAGTAAAATCCCTAAAATCTCTCTAAAATATAGGAATTCACCTTAAATAAAACTCTATTTATAGCAATTTACCAATATTGCAGTAAATATAAATTAAATCCCCAGAAGATATGGAGGAAAATATACTTGTTTTTTTATTTTTATACAGCACCACGCAACATCTATGATCAGGAGAGAAATGTTAAAAGCACGAAAACGTAATTCAGCTTAGCATACACAGATCCTAAAATCTAAAAAGTATCACTGGAAATATCATGAGAAATATGGCGAAGCAGCACAGGAACAGTGACTTCTGGTGCACTCAAGTGAGGAAGATGACCTTCAGTTGAGATGACTTCGACAATTGACTTTCCGCCCAAATTTTGGTGAATATATTCTGCGACAGCCACAGGCACGGCCAAATCCTTTGAGCTCTGAATTATGTGACAAGGCACTGTGACACGAGATAGAAAATGCCTTAAATCAAATGTGAAGATTGTACGAAAGACACTTAGTGCTATGTCTGGTCTCATGTTGAATAAGGTTCTGCTGAATTCTTGTACTGCCACTGAGTCCATGTCACCGCCAATTACTAACGGCGCAAAACCGTCGATCCATGACTTGTAGTTCGACTCCATCGCTTGGCTTAGTTGGTCAATATCTTCCTTTTCAAATCCTCCGTAATAGTCATCTGCATTTATAAACCTAAGGAAACATAGCAATAATTCCCAAGTTAGTTTCTAGACTGATGCTACGATCCAAAATTACCTTTAAGATATTTAATAATTCTAATTATAAGAATTCTTTCGAGTTTCATTTATTTCTCTAAAACGTCTCACTTAATTACCAACTTAGCATTCTTAATTGATGCTATGGTCCATATTACTACCTCTTAAGAGATACCTCACTAATTGAAGTAGTAAGAGTGAATTTGAAAAAGAAAAAAAAGTATTCCGTGTTCCAGTTTATGTGAACCTATTTCCTTTTTAGTCCGTTTCAAAAAGAATGACGCCTTTCAAAATTTGAAAATAATTTAGCTTAAACTTACAATTCTACCCTTAATGAGAAGCTTTTATAACCACACAAATACTCTGGCCCCTTTTTAACTTGTTTAAGACCACAAATTTCAAAAGTCTTTCATTTTTTCTTAAACTCCGTGCCCAGTCAAACAGGTTCCCATAAATTGGATAAATTGGAATAGAGGGAGTAACAAGTACCTCTTGTTCTTTTTTAAATGTCAGACGTTTTGGAATTTTAGTTTAGCAAATCACAAATAATATGGATCAAGATAAGACAAGTTTATCAGATGAGATTAAAGATAATGAACTAGCAGTGCACTAATTCTTTGTACCAACGTACAGGTTAATTAAATTAATCTTTACCAATAAGCAATTCTTCTTAATAAGGCATGATACGACAACCTAAACATAGGATAATAATTAAATTATATTAATAGTACAAAAATTCTTTACACTCATGATCTGACCTTGGAGAAGCAGAAAGCAAGATGAGTTTAGAGAAGAGATCAGGACGAAATATGGAAGCAATAACACCAGTCATAGAGGATAAGGAATGGCCTAAATAAATGCAAGAATCGATCTGAAGCTCCTCCAAAATGGCAAGTAAATCATAGGCATAACCTTCAAGAGAAGCATAACGTTCAAAATCGAAGTAATCTGGATTTGTCGGTCCAGCACCCATGTTGTCATATACAACAACTCTATAGTCATCAACTAGGTAAGGCATAAGGTGTTTCCAAACAGATTGATCAGTGCCAAAGCCATGGCCAAGTACCACCGTCTTCTCGCCTGAGCCAACCACTTTAACGTTGTGAGCTTCTTCAGCTACTCCCATCTTTTTCTTCTTCTTTAATTTCTTTGCTTCAGTACTATTACTTTGTGCTAGCTTTTTAGGTTTAGTTGTGTGGTGGAAATTAGTAGAACCTCCAACTATGCATATGCAATAACTTCGTTTCAGATTCACAAGCCACCCCTTGACTGGAGGCGAAATTATTAGCGGTGCTTTATTAAGTTTATAGCTGACTAGTACATATACCAAATCAACACATGGTCAATAACGTGGACATAAGAGGAGCTACAATATTACGCGTGGATTCGAACGAATTCAATAGTATTTAATTAGATTTTATATTTATATTAAGAAATTTATTAAATATATTTAAGTATTTAGTTACAAACTTAATTATTGAAATAAGTGATGCAGGTTCGAACCCACCAACTTTGATTCCACCTCTGTGAAAGTGGATAAGGATATCATTATTATATATGGAGTTTAGCACATAATAAGGGGGGACCCTCGTGCATATAGATATGGTTGATATTTAGATATTATTTGGCTGGTTGAAGGGGTTTGCTTTATTTACGTGATGAAGAAGGTGTCTTCGTGTTGCCCTGTCAAGCTAGTATTGTCGATTCGGTTTTAGCCTTTGCCGTGAAATGCGCCTTAAAGGCACACGTGAAATTGCCATGACACACAACAACATTCCTGTCTTGTGCTTAGCAACGTAAATATTATTTTATCTACATTTTTTAACACCTTTTCTAGTAACTACCGTGTTGTCTAGTCTCTCTATTAATGCGTAAATTTTGTTCCAGTAATTAAACATTGATCTTAGGTCGAGTTGAAATTTCGACTCCTGCAATTCTTTCTTGGGATGACGGGAGTTAAAAAAATATGTATAATTTATTATCTTTAGTTTTAGTTTTCATATTCCAATTTCTTACCTAGTTTCCAACAAATAACTATCTAAATTAGGATTTTTGTCACATAAATGACACATCTTAATGCGGCTGGCTGCTACTACTCTCTCTAGAATAATCTCTCTATTAATATAGTGGCAGATACAAAAAGTGGAGAGAATAATTTTTAAAATGTATATCTAACTTAAAATTCTTTATTTACCTTTAAAAAAGTACATTTAATTCTCCGACACATATAAGCTACTTCCTATCGTATATATCAAGCAAGGATTGTTCGTATACGAATAATAGCTTTATTAAATCATTTGTCACGATCCAAACTCATAGCACGTATTGGCCGTTTTGGGATGTATTTCTCTTTTAGGGTTACGCCATCTCGATGTTGGGCTAAGACGGTCCAAAAATACCCTTAACGTGGTGTGATACTGTCCTCTTAAGACCAAGCCCGTACGATTTTTTCCAAAATGCCTCACACCATTAAGAATATCCAACTCATTATAAGTAGCTTTTTTTTTTCTACTTTCCATGTGGGACTTTGTTCACACACCCAACAATCTCCCCCTTTAACTAAGTTCCACATGACCTATCACCATTTTTGGGCTAAATTGGAGATTAACTGTGTGCAACCCACATGGTCTTGAGTATTTACGGTCACCGAAGCCCAAAGGTTGTGTATGCGTCTTCAAAGCTACGGATAAAGATCGTAAACCCCGTAGACGGGCAAAGGCATTAAGCCGGGACCCCACGTTACACTCTGCCATCTCAATAGTCCCGCCAATCATTGGCTCTGATACCAGTTGTTGGGCTGAAACAGCCCAAAGATACTCTTAACATGGTGTGATATTGTCCGCTTTAGGCCAAGCCCGCGCGGTTTTTCTCAAAAGATCTCACACAATTAAGAGTATCCAACTTAAGGCTGGTAACTGGGCCGGGCCGGGTCCGAGACCGCGGGCTAAAAGGGCTTAACGAGCTGGGACCATTTGGCCCGCGATTGGTGCGCTCGTGCCGGTCTCATGGGCCGGGTTTTAGCTTTGGAACCGTTTGGACCGGGCCAAACGGGACCAACAGATTTTTAAAAAAAAATAGCCATTTGGCTTTTGAAAAAAGTAGCCGTTGGGTCTTTAAAAAAAATAGCCGTTTAACTCCTCCAACTAATTTTAACCTCAAACTTTTTATTATTACACTTTTTTCGTATTTTCTACTATAAATACCTCCTCATTCTTTTATTTTTCTTACAAAATCAATATCAATCTATCGAATTCTCTCTCTAATTTTCTTCAATACTTGCTACAATTGTTTACTTTATCAAAAAAAAATAGTAAAAAAATTGTGAGGTTGCTACTATTGCTATAACGACCCGGCAGGTTGTTTCATGAGTTACCGCCCCGTTTTCCCTTTTCTTCTTCTTTATGCTTTATTCATCTGTGTTATGTGGTATCGGGTTGGTTGGTTCGAATTCGGAAAGGTTTTGGAAAAGTTTGAGACACTTAGTCTCTTTTGAGTAAGCTTAAGTTGGAAAAGTCAACCGGATGTTGACTTATGTGAAATAGGTCTCGGATGTGAATTTCGATGGTTCGAGTAGCTTCGTGAGGTGATTTGGGACTTAGGAGCGTGATCGGAATGTGTTTTGGAGGTCCGAGGCAGATTTAGGCTTGAATTGGCAAAATTGGAATTTTGGCGTGGGGGTCGGAATGAAATTCCGGAAGTTGCAGTAGATCCGTTGAGTCATTGTGACGTGTGTGCAAAATTTCAGGTCATTCGGACGAGGTTTGATAGACTTTTTGATCAAAAGCGGAATTCGGAAGTTTTTGGAACCTTAGGCTTGAATCCAATGTTATTTTGTTGATTCGATGTTGTTTTAGGTGTTTCGAATATTGGTATAAGTTTGGATAGTGGTATATGACTTGTTCGTGCTTTTGGTTGAGGTCCCGGGGGCCTCGGGGTGATTTCAGATGGTTGACGGGAAGTGGAGAGTTGGAATTATGTAGCTGAAGCGGCTCATTTTGCTGTCATAACCGCACCTTTTGGCTAGTCCTTTTTCTTGTAGGAAAAGGTTTGAACTTCTATAAATTAAGCATCCTTCCTTCTCATTCAGTAGCATCCACAATGTAGTCCCTAAGGGGTTTGAGATTCTTGTTTAGGGGAAGAATCTCGGGATAAGCGTTAGTGTGCCACTTGTGTTTGCCTCTTTGTGAGGTTGTTCTCTCGATATTTTGTACTCTCTTTTATATAGTGGTTTGCTTATCTCCGCCGTGGGCGTAGGTTAATTGACCGAACCACGTTAAATGTTTGTGTCTCTTTTGGGATATTTCTCTTTTGCTGTCTAATTTATCGCCGTTCAAGGTTTACTTTACTAGCTTCCGCATGACACCTGATTTTTTCGATCCTAACATTCGAGCCCCAAAAGTGCGTGTACCATGTGAACTTGTGTCATGTCTTATAGGGCTTTTCACTTTTGTCTCCATTCCGATGTGGGATTCACCTAAGGTGACATATGCACCCCTTCTTCAGAAGCTTGCTAGCCTAGAAGTCTGTCAGTCCTGCCTGACCTGCCCTCATCAGCCCGCACCGTCAAGGGCATCACATTCACCCCCCTTGTTACTCGGATTCCTTGCTGAGGCTTGCCCCACCATCGTACTGAGGGAGATTCGACTCTCATACCATATTCGTCACGATCCATGCCCATGGCACATATTGTCCGCTTTGGGCCTAGGCCCGCACGGATTTGTCTTTTTGGGTACGCCACCTCGAGCTCCAAAAGCGCGCGTACCATGTGAACTTATGTCATTCCGATATGGAATTCGCCTATGGTGACATATGCACCCCTTCTTCAAAAGTTTGTCAGTCTAGAAGTCTGTCAGTCCTGCTTGACCCGCCTTCCGTCAAGGGCATCACATTAAGCCCAAAAAGATAAATCCGTGCAAGCTTAGCCAAAAGCAAACAATACGTGCCATGGGCTTGGGTCTTGACAAATCTAACTGAACGTAAATATATGAATGACATCACTCCCTATATCTTTAGAAGATTGTTGTCGTTTTTCTTTAATCATTTTGGTTGTTTGAGGACTGGGAAAGATGAGGGTTTTTGCTTTATTTGATTTTGCGATTAACAGTTGGTCTTCATATTACGCTACCTACCTAGCTAGTTATCAATGTGTGGTGTTTACCTATTCCCATGGAATCTTTCTAAAATATATGTACGAATATTGCTCAACTTCAGTCTATTGAATCGTCTTTAATCGGTTTAAAGCAATTTATCTAATTTGTAAATATATATACAATTAGATCACTTAAAAGTTAAGTTTCTGCATTCTATATATGTTACTAACCTGAGCTGATCTGGTGGATACTTGTAGTGGGTCAAATTAGTCAACAAAATTAACATAACTAGATAACACTTAAATGCTTTAATGTGATTATAGGACACCATGTAATTTAATTTAAGACTATCAATGGCCTAAACAGAACTCATTCTTTATGATTACCTTTCAGCTCATCAGTTACTTCTTACTCATTGGATCTTATTTTCCAGAAATATATCTGTTTCCTTTTTATTGCTTTCATTTTTTCATTTCTTTCAAAGTGGTGCTAATTTTAGCGGCCTGCAATCAAGCAAGTTACACAACTTACTCCAAAAGACATAGCCCCAAGTTTGTTTGGACAAAGCCCCGTGTTGTTCATTCTTTAAATCTATTTACTCCATAACTTTGTTTTTTTCAGTCTGTTAAGTTACAAAAAATAACTGATGAACAGCAGTACAATGTACCAGGTGTTTAATCTTCCTGTTCTTGATTCCTGATCCACTTGGTGGCCACCCATTTTTCTCCTCTGATTACCGGACAGCTACCATGAAGTGAGGTCTGCATTAGAATTGAAGCAAATGTGAAAATTAGAAAGTTAACAAGTCCATGCTTGAAATCAAAGTGCATCATTACATTGTGTTGATCATGCCCTCCTTTGGTAATTTATGTACTGTGAATTAAAATCACTGGAAATGGAAGAAGTAAAAGAAAGACGAAGAGCCTATTCTAATTGTTGCATTGAACAAACTAATATAGCAGCAGATGAAAATGAAAACAGTCATGAAGCTACGATATACTATAATCTCTCCAATCAGCTTCCATGCGATGGGTCTGATTGTACAAATTTGTTCTGATATTTTCAATATACGCTCCTGTTGCAGTGTATAACCACTTAATCCTTTTAGACAAACATCCTCATAGCATCACGATCTTATGATTAATTGAGCATGTTTAAGCCACATCATCATTTAGAGCTAAATCTTAAACATGTTTTTGGGCAACAAGGTTTTTATAGGATTAGCAATTCTTAACACTTTAAACCACTCTGCAAGAACCACAGCTTTTGATCTGGGATTATATATTGTGGCAGATCTCCAATCTAGCAGCTACAGATGGCATGGAGTTTGCCTTGTACTCCAGCTAACCTATTGCAGATCAGCTCCTTGAAACAATTTGTTAACTGACTGATTACTCCTGTTTATATATTATTGATTCTTATACCAAAAAACATAGTGATGAACAAAACAGAAAATGCAAGGTAATTCACTAGAATAACTCACCAGATCAATTGTACCATTTGGAAACAGTGAGTAGAATAGAAGTCCATCCCCTCTGCGTGGCTTCACTTTCAAACCAATACACTTGCTAAAATCATAGTTAGCATCCATGTTCTGCCCGTTCTGTAGATAAACACAAAGGGCCATTTTACAAGCCAGGCAGACAAGAAAGGTAGTGATGGGTAGAAATAGAGAGCAAAAGAGAGTGGAGAGGTACTTGATCTTACCTCATATGGGAACACAGTTTCCCCACCTTCTTCAACATCAGATAAATATAATAAGAAGGAAGCGGCCTAGACGAGATCAATGAAAGTTTAGTCCAGACAAGTGAAAGTAATCATTCCTCAAAATTAACTACCAGTAACAAATTCTCGACCAATGATATCTCAAGATTAAAGTGTAGTACAGTTCCTGTAAACTTGCTTGGCACATTTCACCTCATGGTTCCAAGGAACGAAGAGAAGATCAGAATCTTTCCACAAAGAAAAGAAGAAAAATGCATATAGAGGATGTCACATCCATGGCAAGATAAGAAGCCACCAAAACAATCATCCTCACCTTGGTTCATGCTAAAACTATAATCAGATTGAAGAGAAATTAGCTACCATTAGAAGTGATTTAAATTGTACAAACGATGGTGGTTTACATGACCTAAAAGCATGCAAATCATTTCTTTTAATACCTTTCTTGCAAAATATACTAAAAAGATACTCAATGAAAATGAAAATCTGACAAGGACTGCCCCCGTGTTGGGAAATACGTATCCAATCTGAGATAAAGATGTATCTTGTTTGCAATTTTCTCATCTAACATTAACATGCTCAAGAGAGTTCAGTAAAGTACTGCAGAGGACCATCATCTGCAGTTTGGGTGATGCAAATAGCATGTGCCATATAAATAAGAACCCAATACTTGAATCAAACACATCAAACTTCTTTCTTCTAATTTATTTGTGGTTCTGGGGAGGGGGGAGGTGTTTGGGAGTAACATGGAAGCACAGCATCCTTATGCCCGGATAACCAAACAATAAAGTATTCTATAATCCACAATTTCCTCTTGTGTAAGATTTCAATTGAGATACAGGAAAAATAGCGAGCAACTTAGAGAAAATAGCACCACTGAAAATTTAGTTCATGCTTACTCTTTGGCTCCTCTGAGGGCCATATTGAGCAGTATCAAAAGCATCATAATGTGACTGATATCTCTGGCCAATTTCATACCGCAAAACATTAAATGCCTGAAATGACCAGAGGAACATCATATTTATCACTGAAGAAGATAATCATTCAAAATCAGTAAGAGCGATAAACAGAAAGTTCAGACTTCAGATACACACCAATGTTCATTTAACCTACAATCATCAAGTTAGCAGCTTGACTAGCTGTCAATTGTCACATGCGTTATATGCATGGTTACATTGCAACTCAAAATCCAGTGGGGAAATAGACCGAAGTATTCTGGAAAATCAGCACAAATACTTGCCAACAGGCAGTTTCAGATGTTAACCAGAATGTAGATTTGCCCCACTAAAAATTAAGGCACACAACAAAAATTGTCGTAAATTTGACTCTTAGAACTGGACATCTTGACCCCCTCATGGTTTTGTCCTCTGAAAAAGAATCTGTTAGAAGAGGTGTGTATCCACACCATTATGAGAGAGCTATAACCTTGCTTGACTACTTCATTTACAACTGAAGACATGCCAAACAACACTAAGGGAGGAAAAAAAAGTTCCATCAATTTGAGCACTTTGACTCGCCGTTTCCGTAAATTAAATGAGCTGGCCCACATATGTGACCTCTAACTAACAATCCAGTATATATTCAGATTCTGCACTTACATCCAGAACGAAATTTGATTAGAAGTTTCTTCCAACATTTATATATCAGTATGAGGTGACTATTGACAAAGAAAGAGGCATCATCTCCTCTTTATGATTTTTTTTATAAGTGATGTCGAGGCCAGCTTGCGTGCACCTCGACTAATTTCACGGGATACTTGCTACCTCCCACCAGCAACAGATATCAGGTTACTCTGTCCACCAAGGCTTGGACAGATGGGAGGCAATCACCTAGTGTTTTTGTCTCCGCTAGAATTTGAACCTGGGACCTCATGGTTCTCAACCCATTTCATTGACCACTAGGCCACATCTCATGATGATAAATGTGTACAACATATATTTCCGTCATTACGACATGCACATTGGTTCATAAACAAGCGCCAATAAAAACAGTTTTTCCAGTACACAAGACTAAAAGAAGATAAAAACCCAAGAAAGGAGTAGGTAGATCAGGATTTAAGTTTCATGGTTTCAACCTTCATGTTTTAACTACTGAACCCATTAGACTTTTGAAACTACTTGGTTCAGTTGAACCCCTGGTTCAGTTGAACCCTTGGTTCATATACTCCATTTGCAACAGAGAAAAATCCAATCTCTTTTGGGTTATGAGGGAAGAAGAAACACAGAACCATAAAATGTGACCCAAGATCACATACTCTATACCATTGTCTCTTGCATCTTAGCTATTTCCAAATAAAATCGTCTCAAAAAGCGCCTGGCAAATTTGATGAACTGGAATCTGAGTGTCTTTGCATTACCATCCAGAACTATTGTATTACTTCACCACCGTCTGTAACTTAATGGCCAATGGCATTATCTGGACTTTAATCTTCAAATATGAATTCTCAGATTAACATGACGAATCAGTGTTTCAGTGAGAATTATTTTGAGTATACAAAGGCTATAGTACTCCATATCAACATCAAAAGAGAGGTAATTCTTCTTAGTGTAGCATAGATTATAGTCCACTATCATCAAATGGAAGATAGTTCTCTTCCGTATTACTCACTTCAAAACATTGGGATTAAATTACCTCAAGAGCTACATTTGGGCCAACTTCTTCTTGTAAATTCTCAAAGCTATCTGAAATTAACATTTTGATCCGTTTCTTGGTATACTTCTCATTAAAATATTAGATTTTGAACTCCACACAATCTACTCCATGTCAATCAAACTAGATATAATTTTCAATAAGATGTCTAAGCAGTTTCAATATAGTGATCATCTTCTTTTTCCAATACATAAACTAAGATATGAGGCTGACTAAAAAAGGATAGGCGAAGTACCAACATGTAGAGGGTAGGACTTGGATTTGTTCAGGCACAATCAGCTTCAATTTGAAGGAAATAAAACTGTAAAAGATAGGTTGGAATAGGGATTATGGCGGGGAATTGGAAGGATTCACTTCCACTAATATATTCCAACCAGATCTTTAGTATCTAAGTCATGGAAGCAGAATCAAAGTTGAGATTTGGTGAAAAGAGCATAATGCATTTTATTTAGGATATACATGTTAGTGAACTTTACCTCTCCATGTGTCTTGGGGATCATTGTCGCCTTTGCAATTTTCTCTTCAATTAGATCCAAGATTCCAGTTTTGTCTTCAGATGCACTAATAAACGTGCCAGAACTGGAGAAATTGACAAGGTAATGTAAATCTCATGCCACGATCTGTAGTTTCTTGTCAAAGATACTGACACATGAAGTACAAAGTTCTATCATAACTTATTTTTTAGAAGCAAATCTCAAGTAATTAGAGAAAGTCATTCCAAAAAAAAAAAAAAAAGAAGCACATGAAGTTTGAAAATCATGAATTCGCTTTATCTTCCAAAATAAGATAATATATGCACACACCATATTTTCAGCGACCTAGTTTAGCAGAAATGGGAGGGAAAAACAAGTTTAAATTGATTACCAGTTAAATCTGCGATTTATTTTTTTGGAAACAATAACCTAACTAATAAATAAAGGACCATACAAAAGTAAGACAGTGTATTGACTTAAATACAATTCTTGGAGTTAATGTTCAACATTGAAAGAAAGGTTCCCGAATAGAAATTAGTTGACAAATATGAGGGTTATTGAGTAGTATATACCTTGTTCTAATTCCTTTGGTGGTCTCTTCTGTTTCTCCTGTGCGAAGAGCCAAGGATGATGGTTCCATATTTGCCTTTGCCATCTTAATTATGCTTTGGCATTGTTCTATAGATGCAAAATTGGGAAAGTATAATGCACGTGGGAACCAGCTTAAAACCTACCCAAAAAATGCACATATATTTACAAGGAAACAAAGCAATATAAATAAAATTACTAATAGTTAAGACATAAAAACGTATTCTTGTTCATAAGTATATGATGACTTAAAGTTTATCAACATTGATTTAAGTTATAAAGAAGTTAGCATGGTATCACTGGCTATCGCAGATATGAGAATAAGTTAAGTACATAATAGATGCTACCACTTCATTATAGGACGATAGCCAACGGGAACATACCCTCACCCAAAAGAAGTATGGGGATTTTATCTTTGTCGCTCTTAATTTAATACCAATTTATTATACTTGAGCTATGATAGACAGCGCATGTTTGAGAAGCAACTATCTCAAAAGTTATTCAAACAGGACGGGAATTGATGGTTAAAAGTAAAAACTGAATTATACGGCAGAATAACCAGATACTTATGTTCGCCCTCAGAAACAAGAATTAAAATCTAAAACAAGTCGAGTTGACAGTTTGTCAACTAAAAAGAGAGAAGCACACCTGAAAGGGAATGGAAATTAGGGAATGCTCTCCAGTCTCGCCAATGGGCAACGGATCAAAGTCCACTGATTCAAGCAACCTTGGTCTTGGCCGCACACTAGGTACATCCTACCATAACCAAAAGTTTAATCAGAAAATGTCTATAAATTTACATCTTCGTCAATTAATTGTTCAACTAGATATATAGTTCAACTGCACCTACTGTCCAAATAATGTACTAGTATCTGTTTTAATTGAACCATAAGCATGTAAATATAAATAAATAAATAAAAGTGAAAAGACCTGGTGAGAGAAGAGAGCAGAGCCGAAGAAGCCGAGAAGGAAGAAGAAGAGACATAAGAGAAATACGGAAGGCAATCTGAGGCTCCACCATCCAAATCTACCTCTGCTCTTCATTTTCTCAATGGATCGCATTCGCCGGGAGGGAGAAAGTTTCCTTTCACTATTAAACTCGGCGTTTTGTCCTTCTGAAACTGAAACTGGGTCAATTCTGATTCAACATGAGAGCTGCCCTGCAAACTCTACTTGGACTACATGTCCCAATGGGAAGCGCCTAGCACGTAATATTTGAATTGCAATGTCATCGTGGAGAATTTGATATTATTAAATATTAAATCTGTGAAAGATAAAATACAAAAGATGTTTGCAAATGTCTTCCAAAATTTATCAGTTGATAATGAAGAAACTACAATTTAAACAAGTGTTTAAAGATCAGTACACTGACTTCCCTTACTTTTTCTTTTTGGACAACAGCCTTCCTCAATTTGGAAAAAAGAAATACTAGTATTACTTATATTAGTGCTCTCTATTTCATTCCATCCCTCTATATATATTTTTTGATGAATAATTTTCCCCCTTCTCTGTGCAGAATGGAGTGCTGATTGTTTATTTTTCTAGATCAGATGTAATGAAAAGTTTAAAATACTTTTCCTTTTTTCTTTTTGGGTCAACCACACGAGGATTCCACTAACCACAAGCGAAACAAAAACAACTGGAGTCGTGCGACACGTCCAGCCAGTTGTGAATTATATCAGTTTAAGATTTAACTTCGTATATTCTTTTACCAAAGATAGGCTTCCATTATAATTTTTTGGTACAACAAGCCAATCGAAGATTACGCAGAAAATTTAACCAATAAGAAACTAAAACTCCATCAACCGCAAAACCAGGTTCATTAGTATAAAATCTAATTTAAACAGTTGGTATATACTTTGTTCTCAATCCGTTAATATTCACGGTTGAAGAATCACCTCTGGAACTACTGTTTTGTGTTTTGAGGAAGTGACGATCTCGGTAATTCTGTGTCAACATTTTACCTGGATTGAGGAGAAAAAAATTTAATCCCACTCGATGAATGCACAGGATTTTTGCTAATTTAAATCTAGAAGGAAAAATAATCACAAACTAAGATAACTAAACATTTTTGGACAGAGAGCACACACAAAAAAAGGTATTCGCTGTATGCCAAAGTAATCCGTATGCTGTAGGATTCATTAACTACAAGAATTAGCATGAGAATAGTAAAAATAAATATAGAAATTAAAAAGAAGTCAAAGTCCACTGTAATTACTTCAGAATCTACTTAAATAAAAAGATGAGAAAACAACAGTTAACAGCCTCTTGACTTCTTCCCTAAAAAGAAAGTCTCTAGCTGCCTACAAGATTTGTGCAATTGAACTCAAATATATTAACCAGCAATCGTTTTGTTATATTCATGGAGAACAATTTGATGTATATATCACAGAAGCTGTATGCCAATAACAGAAGTATGAGGATAATAAGCAAATTAGTTACAGCAACTCAGAAAGTGCACAATAATCTTCTGATCAAATGCCTCTCTGTAATGCAAGCCATCACCCCAAAAATTAATAGCTGCCATCTGCATTAACACCATGCTTCACTCCCTTGGCTTGAGGTGTTACTTGGTTCCTACTTACGGTATCAAATCCTTTTCCGGCCCATAATGTCGTGATCCACATATGGCTGAAGGCAAGCATGCAACTCTTCACGTTAACATGGTATCATTATTGATGTTGCTTCAGCATTCCATCCATTCCATCCAGTAACCAAACTAGCTTATAATGAAACACTGAGGTCCAATTCCTTAGTGAGCTGACTGGTGTCACCTTACATAATATCACATTGGGTCGTGGCACTGAAAATGAGAGACCAGGAAATACAAAGCAGAGGAATCACATTGGTGGTTGAAAGAGCACTTTTAAGCTGCTTCACAGTGATTGGTAAAAAATCTATGTTAGTGTTCAAGGCTCATGGTGTTCGGCTCATTATCTATGTTAGTGTTCAAGGCTCATGGTGTTCGGCTCATCAATCCACAAGCCATCCAAATCAACAACCTATGCAGGCTTATATGAGGATTCTTTAACAAGTGTGAATCATCTGTACCATCAGAGGACCACCAGAAAACAGTTGCCTATTAAATTCTGGGGCTGAGCAAGGATATGATCATAAAGCTGAATGTCACTATGTTTCAGTGTACTAGTCTCTTGCACCAGCTGAGAACTCTAGATATGTTTGATTCCACAAGATCCTTCATTCTCTGTTTACTTCTCCTTGAATCTTCAATATCTAGAGTCCTGTAGGCAAGGGCAAGCAAGTACATTGCTGGATGCAGTCTCCTGCACATGGAAAAATATATCTGCACATCAAACCCCACAATACTGTTTTCGAGCCTACTGAATAATCCGACAACATTTCGTATGGCAACTCGTATATGCAACATCAACAGAAGAGGATTATTCATGGTGATTACAGTTGGAGACATTTCCCAAGTTCATGGGACATAATGAGAAAGATAACCAGTTGTAGCCAAGTGGCTTCTGCTAGACTAGAAGTATGTAAAGTAAGATTTTCATATTAATCTTTTCAAGCAGGGTGTAAACACGTCCTACATTGTCACAATAATATCAATGTACAAAGATGCAAAACATCAAAGCATAATTATCAGCAAAATTCATAAAATACAAAAATTTGTTTCTGCCAGACTGCCACAATGTATAAGCTTATCAGTAAATGGGTGGAGAATTTAACTCATATGATTGAGGCTTCTATAACCTGACACTTACTTCTCAAAGTGATCATTTGCCCCTAAGCCATCCCAATACCTCTGAGATAGTACATTTCGACCTTTCTTATCTCTACCAAACGTCTCCACATACCAACCTCCAATGTCATGCATGGCACATCGAGGTTCAAATAGCCAAAATCTGTTTGAGAGAAAACTCATTACTAATGACATCAATAAACAAAAACCCAAGTGAAAATGAGAGACCTATATCTTGTATACTAACAAGAAAAACAGTGATTTACCAGAGAACACTCTGATATGAATATCACAAGCGCAATGTTCTATGGATTTCCTGGCTTTTAAGTTATGAATTAAAAAGAAAAATCACAATCCAATGGCATCATCTTCTGCTAAACTTTATACTTGGCCACTGGTGTCTCTAGGAGCCGGTGATTCATTAAACTACTAAAATAACCGATTTAAAGCAAATCTAACAACTTGATCCGCTAACCATATGGACACTGTGGTCAAAAGTTCCTATGCTTCCAACAAACAAGCACCAATGTACCAACATAGGAAGAGCAGACAGAGCCTTGTGATATAAATGGAAAGGAGCCTAACTATGACTCTTAATGACATTGAAAAGTACAATAAACCATAATTACTGAGCACAAAAAAACTACTAGTTCTCTTACCATTTGTCTCTTAATAGTTAACCATAAGCTTTCATAGTTTCACCTTCTGAGAAAGAGTTAAAAGGCAGCCCGGTGCACTAAGTTCCCGCTGTGCGCGGGGTCCGGGGAAGGGCCGGACCACAAGGGTCTATAGTACGCAGCCTTGCCCTACTTTTCTGCAAGACGCTGTTTTCACGGCTTCAACCCGTGACCTCTTGGTCACATAGCAAGAACTTTACCGGTTACGCCAAGGTTCCCCTTATGAGAAAGAGTAACATAAAAATATGAAAAGAGAAGGAGGATGACAGAAAATGGAAGACTGCAGCGATCGTAAGTAAAAAGAGACAGCATTGCCCAGGAGGCGCAACTTTCCAAGCTCAAAGCTAAAAGTAGATGACTAGACATCAGTAAATTAGTAAACCATAACTTCCTTTAATGATGTCATTCCATTTCAGCTTTTCGTTTCCATCCAATTCAATAAGATAGATTAACTCCAGTTTTGTAGTCTGATTCAACTCTAAGCCCACCTCTCCACATTTACTTTGTAACTAAAGAATAGGCACAAAAGTCCCATGACAGTTTGACAAAAATCTAGAGAGAAAAACTAGCACTTCTGATGAGTATTGACTCAAAAGGTTAAGTTATGGACTTTACTTGCTCGGAGGTAGCCTAGCTCTGCGGCATCTGCACTCACAGGTTGATACTTCATCTCCTAATTGATACCAGTGCATGTGTCTTACCTGAAACAAATTTCTCACGCAAATTAAAGTGGAAAATTTACGAATATGATTCCTTAAGCCAAGAGAAAGACAGCCATTCCAAGAACAAACTCCAGAGCTGGCTGCATGTATGGCACATGGTAAGAAGAATTCTAATAAAACCCAGGATACATAAAGCTTAAGAAGCACAATATTCTCAAATGACAGGTGCACATGTAAGAGTGATGGTTCATGCACGGACTACAACAGAATGTTGCAGCGTGCATCTATGAATCTATGCAAAAAGGTTTTTTCGACTAGTTAAAGCCATGAAGTGAATTTATCATCACGGAAGTCAAGTAACTTCGTCAATTAAAGCCATCAATTCATGGAATACCCACCAAAGAATCATATCGGAAAAAACCACCAATGTGCTGTGAACACATGGTACATCCACAGTTCATCTTTGTGGAGCCACATTACAGAGTCCAATTAAAGAAGGAACCCTGAGGTTTAGATGGCTAAGAGCAGAAGCTCATAAATACTTGGGCTTCTCATGACTATTCCTTAGCTTCAAAGAAGTGAAAGTACATAAGGCTAGATTTAAAAAAAAACATGGCTCCAAAATTTAAGGCTTTGTATCGGAGACTGAGACTGACAAAAAATTCTTATACACATGTCGAACATGTTCTTTTTCTTGCATTCTTTATGTTTTGGACACCAAACTTCTTCTGTTTCACTTGATCACATCTTTGGTGGTGCTTATTCTCCTAAACTATCTGTTGATCTATAATGAACTGGTCAGTCAGAAATAATAAGTTACTAAATTAGAAAAGACATGAAGAGGGAAAAGTCCATTTTTTTGAAAGAAAAAATTGTAACTCGTCTGGAACTTCCTTTGGGGAGAGGTAAGCTCTTAACATTGTAGACGCAAGATGGAACAGCTAAAGTCCCATGGGGCATTTGCCATGACAGGTGCGGCATTCGTTTTATGGACTTTACGCCTTAGGTTGTCTATCCAGTACACTCCAAGACTGACTCGTGCATGCTTTACGCCTTGGCTTGCCCGTTCAAAACACCACAGAATGTTTGATTTATAAATGTTTTCAAGTATTTGTCTATAATTTATATAATGAGTAAGTTGTTGTACAATTAAGAGCTTGATGGCTTAGAATATTATATTATGCCTAGATAGCTAAATAAATATTTATACCTTTTATCTTTTGAATTTTAATTCTTTTTTTTAGAAATTTATCTTTTAATTTATTCTTAATGTTATGTTATTTTACTACTCCCTACGTCCACTTTTACTTGTCCACTGTACTAAAAATACGTTTTCAGTTTTACTTGTCCACTACAATAAATCAAGAGAAAGTCAAATCTTTTTTTTCCTGTTTTACCCTTATCATTAACTACTCATTCCTCAAATTATTTTCCAAGACTTCTGGAAATACTATCATTATTATGGGTAAAATTATAAAATACATGCTTCATTTATTTTTTCTTAATGGGAGTGTAAAGTCAAAAATGGACAGCTAAAACGGGAGGGAATGTTAAATATTAAGAGTTCAAAGTTTCTGGGGTTACACTCCGCCCAAGTAATAGCTAAAGTGTCTTGTTCTATGCCTTTGCCTGGGAAATCATAAATGGAGGTATGAGTGTATAACAGAGGTTCATATACAAGAGAAAGGATACATTTATTGCAAATTTCTAGACATAGCTATATTTGAGTTCTTTTGTGGTTATAGTCATCTAATTATATATTTTTTCAACGTTCTTTTTTGGCCCATGCTACATAAGAAACTTGCATAACCTAACTACAACATAAATTCAATTGTGTCATGTCGACATGTCCCCTCAAAATTAAAGTTTTCCGGTCTTCATGATTGAATTTGTGTCGTCATCCAACAAGAACCCATGTCCAGTATTAAGCCCAACATAATCCTATTAACCTTGGCGGAGCTATGTAGAGCCAAGGGGGTAATTGAATCCCCTTCACCAAAATATTATAAGATTCTAGTGCAGTGGCAAAGGGGGTTAAAAATTGTTTTAGGTTACAGGTTCAAATCCCAAGTGTAACGTTCTAGTATTTTTTTGAATCCCCTTGCATATATTCTGCTCTGCCACTGCTATCATCCTCATCCCGCTAACATAACCAGCTGACCTATGCACCATACGTCCTTCTGATATGCCCAAGGGCGGAGCCACAAATGAACTTATGGGTTCGGCATATCCCAATAGCTTTAGCTCAAACCTTACTTGTGTTAAAAAATTCATTTAATATGTATAAATAATTTATCCAGAACCCATGAAGGTGCAATAACAATAATATACCCACTGTATTTCAACAATTGATGTCTGGGAAGGATAGCGTGTACGCAGACCTTACCCCTATCTTGTGGAGGTAGAGAGGTTGTTTCCGATAGACCTCGGCTCAAGAAAATTTCTAAGCAAGATTGGAAAGAAGCCATGTTGAAAAACAGTAGTGAAGAAGCCATGAAGCTGCATTTTCAAAAATCCAGAACCCATAGACGCAAATTCCTAGCTCCGCCTCTGGATATGCCAGGTGAAGGATGTCAATTGAACTACTATTGTAAAAATCACCTTAGACGCACACTCAGTTCTTTCTAGGCTTCATTTTTCTCCATTGACAAAACCAATGAAGAACTCCATCCATATCTTCCACTCTATACTATGTTAATGAGTTTTCTATTTGCCATCTCGAATGGCCGTGATCGCTCTCTCACTCTTCCCCTTTGATTGCTCCAACTACTCCATGGACCACCATCCTAGGACTTGCCAGCACAGCAACTATGATATCAAAATCCAATCAGAAGTACCACGAGCTTGATGCTTGGCCAACCATAGAGTATTAAAGGGAGAATGTTTGCAGCTACAACAAGACATCACTTGTAGATAAGCCAGACCTCCTGTCAAAACCCTACACTTGTGTGCAGAGGAAGGGTGTTAAATTTGTTCATGGTGCATGTGGTTGTAAGATAAAGAAGTGTAGAAGAAGTGTAGAATATGCTAAACTACTCCAAGTATCTCTTGGATTGGACAGAAATGGTCCATACGACAAAGAAAACAATTCATCACTACTTGCAAGTCAGGTATACCGCAACACCAACGAACATATTAAAGGCCAAACACCAAAAAGCATAGTGAAAGCAAGCCTAGAAATTTTTCTATTGCATTCAGACAATGACCTTAGAACTACACTTGCAACTTTATGCATTGTTTACAGCAATCTACAACTACTTCTCATAAGCAGCTGGCAGATAGGGAAAGAACTGGTTTTGCTCATTGCACCAACTCGCCCCTCCATCCCCTTCTTTTTCTAGCAAAAGATATTTGACAGGATAAAAGCTAAAGAATATAATAGATGATATTAGACTCACCAGCAATGTTCGATGCTTCATAATCACATGGGTTTTTAGACCATTGTTGTCATAAACATCGCAAGAACCTTCTTCAGGACTGGTCCCCAACCCTGTTATCATTCCCAGTGGAACGGCAGATTTCAATCCGAAGTCTATAAAGTTACTTTTAGAAAATCTTTGGTCTTCATCTGAATTGAGGTAAACATGAATGCAGTCATCAAAACCCTCATTCTGTATCCCATTAGATCTACTCCTAGGTGGAACTCTTGTGGCCACAGCAACAAGCCTCCTTCCAACATGCAATTCCAAGTTTCTGTATGCATCTGATGTATGGTAATTAGAACTTCTCAATTGCCTTTGATCAGAACCAGTATGTGCTGTCTCCGGATGCATTTTCATGGGGATATTCTCAATGGAATGACACAAGCCCGGCGTAAAGGATGTTAGTTTTTCCATAGAAGCATGTGACAGTTCGGGGACATTTTTGGCTAAACAGACCATCCCAAAAAGATCTCGCCCGAACACCAGGTGCAGAACCTCAGCTGTTTCATATACTGATCTCTCCTCAGCTTCAAAACACTCAGGAAGGAGATCTGACTCAATCTCAGGGCCGTAGAATGCTAAATGTAATGCTGAGTAGAAATCTCTTTCCAGTGCATCAAAATAGCCTGATCCAGATACTACCCTTTTTTCAGTCAATATGTCATTTACTGTTTGTCTATACCACTTTAACCATTCAACAACTTCCATCTCCTTGATTGACGTGCTATATGATTCATACATGCACATTTTCGAACCTTGTCTAGAATGCACATGAACAAGTGTTTTTCGAGCTGAGAGGTACTGGTCATAATGCGCTTTCTTCTCAGAATCGGATAGAATCTGCATTTCCATTTATTATCCAAGTAAATACCAGTATTCTCTCTAGTAAATAAAGAAATTACCCTTCACTTTTCTTTTTCTTGTTGGAGAAGGTAAAGTAATCTCATATATAATCCACCACAAAGGATGTGCTGTTAAAATTGTACAACATCAGCAGAGTACCCAAAAAACCAGCAAAAAATCCCAACTATCCTGTACCAATTCTAGTAGCTGTAGAACTACTTCAGCCTCATTTACATGTTCCATTCTACACCAAAGCAAAACAAAGATATACAATTAGCCTTTATCTTAAGAATTGACTTAGCAATATTTCAACGCATCTTTTTATTTTGTGATAACCGTGGTGGCCGGACCAGTTTGCGCGCATTTCAACTAATTCCGGGGTACTTGCTACCTCCCACTAGCATAGGTGTCGGGTAACTCTGTCCACCAACGCTTGGACAGATAAGAAGAAATCACCTCGTGTTTAAGCCTTCACTAAATTTAAACCTGAAAACTCATGGTTCTAACCCACTTCTTTGACCACTAGAGCACACATTTGGGTGCATCTTCAAAGCATCTTCTGTTCCTCTCGAGCCATATAGTCCACCATATGCATGCAGTATAGTATTCCACCATAGAGGACTAGGATGTTAAATGTGCACATGTTTAAATGTCATTTTTGTACATGTTTAAATGTCATTTTTGTAATAATTCGGAAATCCAAGAGGACTTCTAGGATATTAATTTATTGAATCAACTAAGAATGAAAAGCATCTACTCTGTCATAATGGCGTCCGTGTTAGTATAGTAACATGATTTCACCTCATTTCATTCTCCCCGAGAGGGCGTGCTTGCTAAATCATGGCCCTTTTTTTTCACAACTCGGGATCACTTTTACAAGCATTAAAATGGATATACCATGACAAATGTGGAAAATCCAAAAAAAAAAAAAAAAATTGTAATAGCCAACGGAGCAGTTTACACATTTGATATTCAAATCATAGTCTAGCTTAGCTCATGTGGTCCTAAATTAAGCAAAGAAACTGCAACAAAGCCTATGCTTATATTTCTCTCGCGTTCAATTAAACTTTCAATCAACATAAAAAATGAGGCTCTTAAATATCCCATTTTTTTCGTACTCCTCAATTCCAACCTGGGTCAATCAGTTATACAAGTCATCTGCATCCACTCCACTCTGTTCACGAAGTTAATTTTCCATTGATTCATATTTTTACTCACCCCCAATGCTCCTCTTTTATCAAGACCTGGAACTAAATATACTTTGCAAGGATAGGCGAAGTTAAGCATCCGGTTAATTTCATGGACGGTTACTCAACTTTCATTTTATTGTAGCAAGGTGACTAAACTATTTTGTGTGTCATTCACCTTTGCCTGAGTATCACAAAAGTTGCTAAATAATTTTTTGTAATAAAAAAGACACTCAACTTTGCCTAAATATCCTAGAAAACGTCTCCTTTGTTTTACTCCTAGTGACTTCCTGTGGTATTAAGCAAAGTGTAGTAATTTTTTTGTTACAAAAAGTAGTTTAGTGACTTTGATGATACCTGGATAAAGCTGAGTGACTTTTTAGTTACAAAAAATAGTTTGATAACTTTGGTTCAATAAGTGAAAGTTGAGTGATCATCCATGACATTAACCCTTAAACATCTCAATTTTTTTTTACTATACGTATTTTACATCCTTAATTCTAGCTAATAACAAATATTGCACATTGATTGAATTGAACTAAGAACAATTCAACAATTATATTTATCCTGATAACAAAGTAAACTGAGGCAGAAAACAATTTAAAAAATTAAAAAGAAAAAAACAAGTGAAAAGATTTAAAAAAAATGTAGGGAAGAAATGCATGACCTCATAAGCAGCAAGTATGTCAACGAATTGCTTGGAAGTAGAGGAGGAATTGGGCGTGGAATGAGGCAGGAGGTCAGGGTGAGTCTCCTTAGCCAATTTACGAAAAGAGTCTTTGATTTCAGCAAAAGAGCTTGTTTCGGATACACCTAGTAGCTCGTACGCGTTGGGTCCCGGGAACTCGGATTGAGTCGACTCGGTCCCTGTGTTGAGCCACCGCTTTGTAATAAAATTGGGATGATATTTGTTTAGCAGAGAGAGAGAGTGTGGAGTCATATAATTCGATTGAGGTGAAATTATATAAAGCAGAAATTGATGATGATGAGAGTGAAGAGTAGAGGCTTTTCCGATGAAGAATTTCATTTCGGAGTTGAAGGCGGTGGCACTGGTTCGGTTTTCTCAACAGTTATTTCCCCTCGCAAATGAGTTTTCCCTATTTTAGCTTTGGATAAATCGGTGCTACGCAACAAACAAATTGAACAAAAAGCAAATATAGCAAGTGCTATAAATATATCTATTATGGATTTTCATTTAGTATTTCGTTGTAAATAAGCTAACTGAAAGAGCATATCCATACGGGACTCCGCCGTAAATATATTTATCTATTTAGTACTCTATTGATATAAATATCCTTAGAAGCTTATCCTTGCGGTACTTGATAAACATTACCTTCGGTAGATATTATCTATATATCTGGTATAGTAGCAGCTTACACAGCAGCTTGCGGTAGCAACTTACACAGCACCTTGCTTTCTTCTATAAATAGAGGAGATTTCAGTTCATTATGTACAGAATTTTTGAAGTTGAATAATATATCAGTTTCTCTCTATACTTATCTTTTACTTGATAGTCTTTATTTTATAACACGTTATCAACACGAGACTCTGCCATTTGAGCACTTACTTCGAATTTAATTTCTATTTCAGTGTAGTTGCCATTTTCACTAAATATCGTCTGAACCAATCCAGAAAAAAGTACTGTACAATTTTAGGATATACTGTTCTCTGCCGACAAATCCCCCAAGTTAAAAATTCCAATCGAGAGCTTTCATCAACATATCCACCAAAAATCAAGCAAAGTCTTTAAGCCTTCTTCTGCACTACTTTTGTTGTTAATTCTGGGTCGTTATTTCCGGCGAGTTTTACGAAGGACGAGTTGGATCGGTCGAGAATCGCTTGTGTTTAGTGGGTGGGGCCCGTAGGTTTGAACTCACTAGGCTTCTATTATCGAGAAAATTCTCAAAGTTTATCCGAATTCTGATCTTTTTCTCCACAGTCCTCTGGATTATAAGGCCTACAAGCTCTCCTTGTTAAAGGTTGCTCCTAGAATTGCCGCGGTTAGAATTTTCTGACCACAACCCATAGCGGCAACTGAGTCACAAGTCCGAGTTCTCTCTGCTCAAAACTCACCTAATGGCATACATTGTTCATCTCCGATGTAAGGCGATGTTCTTACGTCCGTGGTCAGATCTTGTTCATTTCGAGCATCATAAGGCAGATTATATCCTTGAGGTGGCGTCTTGGCAGTAGTGATGTGGATATCACTTACATCTGGAGTGGCCAAATTTGTGTAAAGTAATTTAAGCCTTTTAGCTTATATTTGGCTTAATATCTTTATCATCGCGCTCTTGATGTAAATATTGTTAGTTTATATGAGTCCACCACACTATAGAGTACCGGGTCCTCTATGAGTTTCCACTGAAAATACTAATGAACCAAACTGTATAGAGATCTGCCTATATCAGTTCCCTCAGTGCTAACAACTGAACCAGTATGTAAATGAGACACAGGATTTTTACGTGGAAAACTCCAGCTCACGGGATTAAAAACCACGACCTACCCTTGTAGGATTTCAACTCCACTACTAAGCAAACTTTAGATTACAACCTATTGTAACCTAGAAATTAACCTCTTAATCCCTCACTAACTTGTAACTACACTATTACAAGCCACTTTGTAATAACTCTATTACAAAGACTTCAATCACTCTAACTTGTAATACACTTATCACAAGCCACTTTGTCAGTCACTAGTTACAAAGACTTCAATCACTCACTAACTTGTAACAACACTATTACAAGCCACTTTGTAATAACTCTATTACAAAGACTTCACAACTCGACTAACTCTAGCCAAGACACAAACACAAGGGTCTATGATTTACAAAGGGTTTCCTACACAATGCTTCTAACTAAGCTAAGTAGGAGTTACAAATGAAGAACAAATAACAAAGACTCAACAAACCTAAGGACTTAAGATATCTTCAATCTTTGGATCTGGTCCTTGAGGTTGCAGCAGCTTTGTTCTTGAGAGAGGTGTGTCTAGCACTTGAAAGAATATCACTAAAAATGCTCTCGGAAGTTGTCTTGTGCCTTGCACCAGGTTGTTATACTACAAAAGACATCACCATGGTGATGTCAGTTGTTGGTTAGTACATGCCTCTTCCCAATGGGAAGTGATTGCTGCACTGTCTGCTGTATTGTCGCGTGTACTGTTGCAGGCAGTCACTTTCTGCAGTTGCTTTCCGGCTGTATAGTTGACTTATACTTCTGTCAAGGGAACACCAAGGGATTAGGCCCCTAATCTGGTTCTTGTGAATCCAAAAGGCACACTGCCCAGATTATCTTGAGTTGATTAACTTGAATGATTGTACCAGGCATGCTTTAGGTCCTTTATCTGGTTCTATACAGAAAGTTTGTTAGATCATCAAAACATAGATTAAAAGACCTTAAGCCCATAAATTTCCCCCTTTTTGATGATGACAAACTTTAACACTGATGACTATTTGACTTAACCAGATAAGGTACCAGCAACCGCATATGTTCCCCCTGACTCTATGCTTCCCCCCTTAATTACTTGCTACAATTTCAGTTTAATCAATTCTTCCCCCTTTTGGCATCAACAAAAAGACACAGTCAGACAAAACGGCATAAAGAAGCCTAACAAAGCTAACTCATGCTACATATGTGCACACAACATGATAGAAAAGAGAAGCAAAAAGGAAAACAAGCATTGTACAAGCAAAAGAAGAGTTGTTTTATCGATAAGAAATTAGACTGTTTCAATAGGAGCAGCAACGGTGAAATCCAACATGCCATCACAAAAAGACAAACAAAAAGGAAACGATAGCCACACAATATCAGAGCAAAAGATAACTGGCCACTGAGAGGATCCTAGGGGGCACTAGAAGAGGGAGGCTTGGAAGAGGAGGCAGCAATGGTTTTGAGAACCAGGTCCATGCGGACATTTGCAAACAACTGTTAGTCAAGCAGTTTCTCCCGCAGGTTCTCCACTTGTTGCCTAAGTCCAGAACTTGTCTCATACCTGCCATCTCCGAGATTGCCGGGTCAAACGTGCGACCTCACAAGACTTTTCTGAGTTCTCAAACTCTCCTGCCCAAGGCCACTGTCACTTGGAATGGTCTTCATTAAACCAGGTTCTCCCACAGTTTCCCACTTTTGTTTTCTAGACATTTCAACAAACTTCCTGTTCCTGCTTGCAACAGCCACAATGTCACCTTCAAACAAATCATTCTCAACCACAAACTTTTGGACTTTTGTAGATCTTTTCACTAAGGAACTAGGTTCCTCCACAGCATCTTTATCAACCTCAACCACTAGAATGTGTTTGTCAGCCACAACTTCCCCCTATTTCATCAACCTCTTCTTCTTTTTCTTAATACTCTGCTTACTCTTCTGCAAGGCAGACTCAAAAGCCTCTTTCTTCTGCAACCTCCTGGTTTGTTTTAGCTGAAAGAGAATCAGGTTCTTCAACAGGTTTTTCTGTGACGGTGTCATGAACCGGAGACTCGAAAAGCACCAGAGTCCTTTCAACCCCTAAGAATGGAGTTTCTTCCCCCTGAATTTCAGGCAGAGGGGAGGCTCCTTCATTCATAAGACTCTCAACAGCGATAGCCATGATATTTTGTGCTGCTTCCTTTTCTGGTGACTCTGTGGGAGCCACTGAGTCTAGAACGGAGGAGTTCAAGTACTGATCGGGATCTTCCTCAGAGACCTTTGACGCCTGAGGAGTAACACTTTTGGTTTGTTCGGAATAAGGAGGAGAAGTAGGGTTTGCAACACATGAAAGTGAGACAGGGTTTGATGGAGGAGTAGAGGTGACTGGAGATGAAGAGGAAACCGGTATGGGTACAGTAATATCAGGGATAGTGAAGAAGTGGGTTTCCGGTGGTGATGTTAAGGGAGGTGGAGATGTGGGAGTGGTGTTGATGGCAGGACAAGGAGATGATTGTTCGTTGGGCATGGTGAAAGAAGTGGTAGAGAGCTCTGAAGGAAAAATTAAAGAGATGCAAAGGGAGATAATGGTTCAGAACTATTGGTCTGAAAAGTCGGATGATGTGGCGGTTGAATTAATTTTGCTATCTTTTTAAAAAACATGCGAAAAACACATTACTACTAACCTGTGGTACAGGAACCAGGTTCCTGACCTGTTTTTGTAAAAGGGTTTTGCAGCTCTCTTCCGCAGTTCAACACTGTACCTTTAGCTTCTATGATCATCATGTGTGTTAACCTGCAATGGTATAGATGTGAGTTAGGCCTAGTCAGAAAACACTTTAGCTAATTTTACCTTAGTGTGACTATCATAGTTGTCGATGCCCCCTTTTTCCAAAGGCGAAATCGGGTTTACGACATTTGGGCGGACAACTCTATTCCTTTTGGGAATTTGGGTTTGAGATTTAGAAGAGTCGCCACCTAATGATTAAGTGCATTAGGACACTAAGAATTTAAAAGAAAGAAGAACGAGAGAATGGGTAAGGGCTTGAAATTATCTCAGGGAGAAGGTGTTAGGCACCCCCCAAGATTCACTAGTGTGGTTCCCGGCCATGCTACAATTGTGATTTAAAACAAGTAAACATACAAGACAACTTCCACATAACTATTACAAGTAGGAATGTATAAAGGTTAAATAAACATGCTGAAGTCAGGAAATGGGTGGTTTCATAGTTGTTTAAAAGAATGTATAAGTGCAGAATAATAAGGATCAAATAACGAGTGCAAACAATCACACAAAAGAAGTGAAATGGGCGGAAGTTCAAAAAGAAAACAGTGCTGGAAATTCAAAGAGGTTTTAAATGATTTGAAGCGAAATACAAGGTTTAAAGAGCTGGAAACTGACAGTTTAAAGAAAACAATAACGAAAGTACATAAGGAGGGAGGGGGGTCCTAGGTTTATAAATAACATGGATCATCCATGCAACACCCGGTAACCAATTATACGTGTGGTGTTATCGCGTGATCATCATATCTATGTCTACCCTTTCCCACCCCGTTAAGGTACTAAAGCGCGGAATAGTCTCGTTATTTATTGCATGCTACTACCCGCCCCAATCCTATCAGTCCCGGAGGCTGTTGGGACTACTATTTCTAAAGGGAAGGGATATTGGCTTTTGAAGTTTAAAAGGCCAAAATCTAGTGCGACAAACAAAACACATAAGAGCAATTAAGGGGAAAACACATAGCAGTTAAGGCTCAAAGGGGGCCTCCTCATTCAAAACAGAAATTGTTTAGCATGACTTGCAAGTACTGGTTAGGTCTTTAATTAAACTTAAATGAAAAGAGGGGCGGGTGGCTGATTTATTACATATTTTCAGATAAGAAGTCCGAATTGGGCCTGCCTGCTGGTTGTGATTATTAAAGACTGGTATAATTAATTGATTACCTAATAGTTTGCCCAGGTGAGACCTATAGGCATGATGTCTAACAAGGTGAAACATACTGATTTTAAGGGAGGATTACTGATTTTAGAGATGAACCAATTCCGCAGATGTTAATAATATTATTACGATTTTAGACTTGCGGATGAATCAGATTTAAACGATTGCTCCTATAGGCATGAATTCTAAGCGTTACTGATTTTAAAACGGTTATGCAAGTGCAGGAATCCTATGAGCATGGTATCTAGGATGCAATTGATTATTCCTTAGCCTATGGATTGTTTTGCCTAATGTCATATGCATGTGCAGAAATGCAGAAACTTATAGGCATGGTCTCTAAAATGCAATTGATTATTATTAAGCCTACGAATTGTTTGCCTAATGACATGTATATGCAGAAGTGCAGAAAACCTAAGATCATGATTTCTATATGCAGAAATGCAGGGACTTAGAGACAGGATTTCTATATGCAGAGATGCAGAAATAAATGACCTATAGGCATGTTGTCTATGTGAATGCAGGAATTAAAAATCCTATAGGCAAGTTATCTACCCTTTGCATACAATCATTCCCATCCCTTTCCACTAGCCGTCCCCAATAGTTATTACAAATTATTACAGTCCAAAATGAATCGGAAAAGTAAGGAAATAAAATTACATCAGAAGTTCCAGCTATAACCAAACAGCCTAATTCAGACTCAAAGTCCAATAATATGAGATAAACTAACTTCGAGGATCAAAACTTCCAAAAGCCTTTCTCATCCTTTGGGTGTGTCAAAGTTCCAAGGAGCTTTATGAACTCCAGGCAGTGCTTACGCCCAATTATATTGCAGAATTAAGGTTATGGTGCAGTGTGGAATAGCCAGCCCTCGAATGTCCAAGTTCAGAGGGAGCTCCAGGTCCCAAAGCAAGGCTCATAAGAGGGGGGCAGAACTTAAGAGTCTAAGAATAAGTGTAAGTGCATAGGGGGGGAGGGAATTAGGAAAGCCATGGCAGGTTGGTGGTCATGCCCAACAATTGGGAATGCTGGCACACCTCTGACCAGCCTGTCAGCCAAAACATGGGAGTTAGGATCCATTGAGGATCAGGTTCTGACCTGGGCAGTAATTTGGGTACTGCCAGGCCAAGAACCTTAACTCAGACACATAGAGGGAATGGGGGGTAGGGATTTACAATAAAAACGGATGCAAGGAAGGAACATATTAGCATAAATCATTTAATCATGCGCAGTAAAGTAAACAGGATTGTAGAAACTGTAAGTGAACACATAGAGGTGAGGCAGGAATGTTAACTCAGAAAATACCAGTTTCAGAAGAAATAAGTAAAAAAAACAGTAGTCTTGAAAAGGCCAAGTTGCGAGCAAAGCAATTCCAAAAGATCCCAAGCAAAGCAGAATATCGAATTCAAAACAGTATTGCAAGTGTGCAAGTATTTTAAAGACTAGTGGTGTGAAGGTTGTGTGAAGAATGAAGTCGTAAGACGTTGTGGTAAGATGCAAGGTAAGGTCCCTTTTATAGTGCAGAAAGAAAGCAAGAAAGGCAAGGAAATATTATTGAAATCAGTCTCCCTTTGGTTAAGGCCTTTCAAAGTAGCACAAAAGGGGTAAATACACAGAACTTATTTAAGGAAAACAATCAACATTACACGGTTTGTGCCAAATATGGCAAGGGAATCAATCAAACAGTCCTGACACCTAAATTACAAGTTCAATTTGACTGAATCAAGTCAAGAAAGGTAAAGGAGATTCAATCAAAGAAAAATCAATGACAATTCCTCAGCCTTATTAAAGGGATTTCAGAATCAATCACTTAGATAGTGAGAACCTTTTTGAAAGAGGGATTTTCTCATATATAAAGCATACAGATTAAACAAAAGGAACTGTCAAGTTATTTAGGAAAAAGAGTCTATCATTGAAAGCCTTAGAGTCACAAGCAAAAAGAGATTCAAGATCAGTTACAGACTCATTGTGAGTCTGAAAGCCTAGGGTCCCAACGTGGAACCCTAATACCATTTACCCAAAGAAAACCCCCAAATCGTAGGGTTAAAAATTGAGTCAGACAATAGAGGTGAGAAAACAGGTCATTGAAAGAGGCTCTGAAGTCTTTTCCAAAGACTGATGAGAGACAAACACACACGATAAAAAGAACACTGATTCAAGGTCATGAGAACACGTTTGAGAAAACTCAGAATTTAAACAAGTTCAGAAGAAAGAGATGATACGAGTTTTAAACAAAAGTAGATGAAATATGCTTAGCAGGAACAAACAGAGTTCAGTAAAGTGAACAAAATCAATGAACTCAACCATAAACACATATAGCAAACAACACGGATTAACATGCGAGTACAGGAATAACAACAAAAATAGAAGAATCTTGCATAATAGAAAGAGAAACAAAGAGCAACCTCATGCGTAGTAGAAAAGAAAACATACGAGCCTAACATAGATGATCACACATAAAGGAAGAACAGAAAGAATCAGAAAGATATTAGAAGAAACTTTTTCAGAAACCCTAAAATCGAAATTGAACGACTTTGAAAAGGAAATTTGGGGAAAACCTTTAAAATGTCAAGTAAAGCCCAGACATATCACAGATCTAAGAAAATAAGCAAGTACGGAACCTCAGACGGCTTAGAGTCGCAGAGAAAACCCTAGAAATGAGAAAGGTCTTGAGGAGAGTCAGATCCTGAGTCGAAAAGACTCATATTGCTTGAACATGCCGGAATAATGGCCGGAGAAGCCATAGATCTACAGATCTGAGAAGGATCTGAAGAGGGCCATCGAAGTCGAGCTTCAAACCTTGAATAGCTTAGGTCTGATGGTGAGAAAGGATGAGTACAGACCGTCCATGGCCGGAGACGCCATGGATTCCGATGGAAACATGGTGAGATAAGGTGGGAAACGATTAGGGTTTCGGAGAGGTTCGAGAGAGTTTGAGANCGAAGTCAGGCTTCACAGCCTTGAATGGCTTAAGTCTAATGGTGAGAAAGGGTGAGTACAAACCGTCCATGGCCTGAGACGCCATGGATTCCGGTGGAATCACGGTGGAATAGGGGTACGAGACGATTAGGGTTCCAGGTTGGTTCGAGAGAGTTTGAGAGACGAGGGGGTTCAAAGGCGATTGAAAGGTGGAAGTGATTAGGGTTTGGGGGGGGGGGGGTTTGG